ATATATACATATAGATATATATACATATATCTATATGATATATCTATAGATAATCTATATATTATATATTGTATAATATATAATGTATATTATATGTATATATATAATATAATTATATATATATGTATATATATATATATATGTATATGTATATATATAGATAGAATATATATGTATATATAATATAATATTAATATATTATATATAGTATGTATATATGTAGTTTCCCATTTTACCCTTGCACTTTCTAAAAATTCCATCCATGTCCCTTAGTCAATTACAAGAATGCCCTCATTTTTATTATCTTCTCCATGTTATTCTATTTCTTTTCACTCCTCACTCTTTCATCTAAATATGAGTGAGATGATCATTTTACCCCTAATAACATTTTAAAGAACACTTGTTCAAGATAACTCTAACTAGATTTAACTAAGGGTATTAGGGCATAAATAAAGCTAAGTACCTTGATGTGGGCGTTACAAGGCTACTGCGAGCTGGGAGACTAAGTTCAAGTAGTCCTCACTCGACCTAGCTTAGGAGGCGGTAGCTCACCAAAAGGCTGAAGCTGATGTCAGGCAGCTCGGACTTCGAATTAAGGAGTTGAACGAGGCCATTGTTGCTCGGGCCTAGGAGACATCCCTCTTCCTTGTCTAGAAGTTATGGGAAGTTCATCCTTCAATCGACTTCTCTTTCCTTTCACGAGCTTACGAGAAGGAAGTCGAGAGGATAAAGGTCGAAGCCCGAGGAGAGACCTATGCTCGGACGACTATGAGGAAGGGGGCGAGGGTCAAGAAGAAATCAGGGAAGGCGAGGAGGAGACCAAGCCCTGGATCGAAGTCAAGGATCTGACTCTCCTGACCACGCTTCCCCCAAACGAGGCTCCCAACCTTGGAAAGGAAGTCGTCATTCCTCCTGTCGACGAGCCATCTCTCCCCCTTAACGACGACCTTCCCGGACAGGTCGAGGATGACACTTCCAACCCCCCCCCCCCCCTTTTCCTTTTTCCTAGTTGGACTTGCAATATAAAATCTGAATTTGCTCTAAGTCATGCGTGGCTCGCTTCTTGAGGAGCTTTTTCAGATTTATGCGAGGAAATCTTATGTGCCGATCAACTACAATTTTGGACGTATCATCCTTTTCAAGTTTTTTGCTCGCTGGCCTGAGGCCGATTTCCCTCGACGTGTCTTTTCTTGAATTTTTTTCAATATTAACTTTGTCGATTTAAGATGTTTCATCCTTAAAGAGTTAGATTTTGGCATGGCCTTTTCTAGATAAGCTGCCTTTCCTGGACTCTTGACTCCAAGTTTTCTTTTTTGCCTTATCAACCGAGCTTTAGGATGAGGTTCAACCTGTGGCACATTACCTCGAGGCTGATCCTTACCATGTTTGCATGCACCCACGTGAACACATTGAGGTTTTTCTTTAGGAAGCTCTCTAGATTATCAACCACCTCGCTGCTCAAGCTGTTGCCGACCTATAGTACACGAGTTGGGTCTTCCTCGCTGACCCTTATCTCTCACAATTCTTCTATCGGCCCTGCTGCAGGCTCTTCTCTATGGAAGAGAAGATCTATGGTATCCTCGAGCGGTTTGGGGTTCGGCTTAGATTCCGCGATGATCATTATCCTTGGGTGTGGCCATTTCTACATTTATAACTCAGTTATAACATTCTTGAGATTCCCTGGTGCAGCTCTTGATCGTTGCGACTCCCACAGTAGTCGAAAATCTCATTGCTTGGCAGCGCACTGACATGACCATGCTTAAATCATCCAAGATTGGCCTTCCGAGGATGACGTTGTATGTGGTTGGGCAGTCTACCACTAAAAATTCAGCCATCACTATTCTAACCTTTGGCTCTACCCCCAGGGTTATAGGAAGGTCAATTGTGCCCTTGGGAACCAAGTTGTCCCTGGAAAACTCATACAGCGGCGAAGGACACGCTCGCAGGTCCCTTTCTGTGAACCTCATTCCTCAGATGGCTCTCAAGAAAATAATGTTCGCCGCGCTGCCATTGTCGACCATCACCCTTAATACTCTTGCATTGCCGATTCTAGCCGTGATTACGATCGCATCATGATTGTGGCAAGGGAATGCTTTGCACTTGTCCATTGTGAATCCTACTACCTCGCTTTCTTGTTTGAGCCACTAAGGCGGCTTCTATTCGCAGCTCATTACCTGGGGAACCGAGTCCGTTTTGGCTTTCCCAGCATATTGCTCGCGAGCACGTCTTAAGTTCCCTGCTATGTTGGGTCCTTCCTAGATCATTCCCATGAAGACCTCGTTGGGGTTTGGCGGAGCTTGTTGTGTCGGGTTCTGAGCCTAACTTAGGGTTTGGTTACTTTGCTCGCCAGGATTTTCGCGAGCTAATTCCGCCTTAACAAATTCTTTTAGATAACCTCTTCTTATCAAGCCTTCAATGGCGTCCTTCAGAGCTCGGCAATCATTTGTGTTGTGCACGACGTCCCTGTGGTATTGGCAGTATTTTTGTTGATCTCTTCTGCTTGGAGCCCCCCTCATCCTTTCTAGAGCGGGCAATCTCTTCGCCTCTCGAGATACTTCGTAGATATGGGCGACATCTTGAGTGAAGGGGGTATATTCTGCATACCGAGGGAAAGGTTGTCTGTCCCCACGGTTATCTATTCTCTGTTTCTTTGGGAACCTGTTGTGATCCCTGTCATTGTGGTCTCGGCCCCCATGCTTATCCGATGGGCGATCTTGTTGCTTAGTCAGGGTCCCCCGCGTCGAGCTTCTAGCCAACGCTACCAGCAAGCTTTCTACTTGCTGGTATTTTGCAGCCATCTGGTAGAATTTGGCTAGACTTACATGATGTTCGCGAGCCTGCGATGATCAATCTTTTCTTGGACGTGGGTTAATACCGGCACGCTGACGCTGGGGGTACTGTTGAGCTTCTTGGTGGTGCCTATCACCTTCGCTTTCTCTCTGCGGTTGCTTTCCTGGCTGCCTCCAGAGGTTTGTTTGCCCGTGGGACTCTCGCTCATGGGCAGAGTGTTGTCTGCGAGGTTAGGGGTGTTGATCGCCCCCCGGCGCTGATGAAACAGACAGTTCACCTAAAGAATTCATACTTGTTGGGGTTGCATTGGTGAAGTGCAGCTAGTCGAGGTTTCGAGCACCTAGTTGCTGGTTCCGTAACTCGACCATGTTCTATTGCACCACCTATGCAGCCATCGTTCTGATCATCTCCATCAGCTAGCCGTTCTCAAGGTTTGACGTCCCTACCCCCTGATTGTTCATGGTGTGTTGGGTTGGCAGCACAGGTGGTCAGTGTCCAACGATCTCCTGTTGCACCTCTTGATGGGCGGCTTCCACGTTTTTGAGGTTTTCGGTGGTGGTTTTTGATCTGGTGTACACCATTTTGGGCTTGGAATATGCAGGTTGCTATGAATGTTTGCCGGAATCCTTGAGATGTTGGTGGAGGCCCTTCCTCTAACGCCAAAATGTTGATACATAAATCTATACCAACCAGAGAATTCCGATTGACCCTACCAAAACCGGAATGGATGTGCGTGTGATTAAGAATAATCAGCAATGTATGTAAAAATGCAATAAAGTAAAGACAATGAGAGTTTTAAAGTGGTTCGGCGAGGTTAACTCTGAAGCCTACGTCCACTGTTTTTGTATTTGCTATGAGAGCTTACAATATAATTCCTATGTGAAATTTGTAACCCCTTCCTCATCGTTACAAGTTTTTTACAAAGAAAAGAGCGAAATTAATGGGATTACAATTTATCTAAATCGCAATTATGATATTCTCGCAATTGAGTGTTGTGATTGCGCAGTGATCACTGTTGATCTAGTCATTCCCATAATATCTAGAATCTGAAGTAATCTGGGGATTGATTGAATGATTGTTCAGATTGCTTGCGACTAGCTTATGCTGGGTCGAGCTATAGCTTGACGAGTTTATGCTAGGTCGATCAATCATCGCTGCCAAGCTAGTTCTGGGTCGAGTTATATCTCGTGAAGGCCCGAGCTTGATGGAAAAATCACGCACAACAATCATATTCAAATCAAATTTAACGTAATAAATATATTGAATCGATTCTTTTTTAATTAAACATTATAGCTTCAAATATGGAATTGAAAGAGATGAAAGCCCTCTCTACCAATGGATCACAATTTGAAGGTTTTTTTTTTTTTTTTTTTTTTTGGTGGTTGGGGGTATCTGGGCCAGTTTACATACACTTCAACTAATCTCTGGGGCGTTGAAGTTGACAGCAGGATAAATCCCCTCAATAATCACCCTATTAACAACCAAAATAGATTGAACTATGGACTCTTCAGTAATACACCGAAGTGTTTCTTTTTCTTCTCCTTTTTTTTCTTTTAATATTTATATTCTTGATTAATCAGGTTTAGTTATAGAAAATTATACATTTATACTTAGGTTGCGAGCCCACATATAGTCTTTTCGCAAGCCTAATTAGGCTTGGTTGAGTAGACTCTATTTACTTGGCATCAATTTTAATTTTTTGTTCCGTTTGCCAGAACCAAGGGGTCTTTCTATGGAAACCTGCACAAACAATCGTTGTTTTTTGATGGTTTTTCCGCTTCTCACAGCTGCTCTTTCCACACCTCTAGATATCTGGTGCCAAATCGTCGCCCGTTTCCTTATTTCTTTGATAATAGAGTTGACTATCTTTGTCGCATCAATTGTACAAGTTCGTGAAGAGGGCTGGACGAGTGGAATGAGGGAGAAGACTCTATGTACTTGTATCAATTTTAATTTTTTGTTTTTTCAAATTCTTTTTTTTTTTAATTAAACAGATATTTGTAATCAAATATTAATTGAATATTCCCACCAAATTGAAATACTAAATAGACTAAACTTTGTCCTAAAAATAGTTCATCACCCCTTTAACACAATCAAATAATATTATAATTTATAACAACATGAATTCTTCCTTTAAAATATCAATTACTAAAAGAACGGTAATATATTATTAAATGAATAATGAAATAATATGAAATACAATGGTACAAATAATATAAATAAACAAATAAATAAATAGATCCTAACTTCACACTGCACTCATTTCACATCTCTCTACATAATCAAAACGGCAGCAAACAACCCAACCGCCAAAGATCCAGTACCGGCAAATCTGTTAAAAACGGCAGCGTTCTCTGCTGAAGCAGGAGCTTGAGACGGTGGGAAGTCGATCGACGAGGGAGAAGTCGCTGGAGCCGGAGAAGAAATCGACGGAGGAGGGGACGGCGGTGAGGTGACGACGACAGGAGAAGGAGCAGCCGCCGGTGTAATCTTCGAAGGAGACGGCGCAGCCACTGGTCGAGTCTTGGAAGGGGAAGGAGGCAAAGATGTCGGAGCCGGAGCAGGAGCTGGAGACTGAGCCATTGAGGAGGCAAAGAGGAGTGAGATTAGAAGGAAAGAGATGAGAGTTGTTCTTGAGAAAGCCATTACAGTTGCAGAGAGATGATGAATTTTGAGGAGTTGTGCTTTGTGTTTGTTTGTTTGTACATAGCGAAGTGGAGAGGAGAGTATTTATAGAGTGAAGGCGCAACGGCTATAATTGTTGTTGAACGAGTCGGTTACTTTCAAAAGGAAATATTAGTGGGGACCTCCAAAAGAAATAAGCTTTTAAAATGCAAAATCTAGAAAATTCATGGGAAATTACTGGAATTGATTTTAAAATTTAATAAAAACTTCGTTAAATATAATAATTAACAAAAAAAAAAAAAAAGAGTGTGAACGTGGGTGGATGAATGATGAGTAGCCAACTAAGAAACAGACACGCTTCGCTTGCTTTTATGTAAAGGTAAAGTTGTCTTATAATAAGAATGAATCCCAGCCGTCAGATACTTGTGGTGATTAGCTGTAATGTATTTGTAACGGAAAGTGTGAGTGTATGTTTACCGCGTCATACTTACCTGTCAAGTCAAAGGAGTAGGTTGTGAATTCAGATTAGACTAGTCAACCGGTCAAACTTAAACATTCGTGCCTCGCTCTTTGCTGTGCTTGGTTCTCGTAATCTAACTATCATGTTTAGTTATTAAATAATATAACATTCATTCCAAATTAATAGTAATTATTTTAGTTATATAAGTGGTGGTATGATTATATATATTTTTTTAAGTATTTTAAAATTATTTGATAATCTTGATTTTGTTATAATTCCTTGATTATTAAAATTTTTGGATAATAATACTCTATTTTAAAATTAATTTACATGAACTTGCCATTACAATTTTACCTCTAATTAATTAAGTTTTTTTTTTTTACAATAACGTCTTTATATTTAAAACAAATTACAGGCTATCTAGGACCTCCGTTGCCTACCAACTACCACCGACGGTCGTTGGAACAACACATGACCTGATGAATATAGTCGACATGTGCCGATCTTGCCGTTTCTAGCCAAATCGATGGCTAGAAATGGCCATAGATTTGGCAATTAACAGTCAGATCCATGACACACAATTGTCACTATCGACCAAATCCGACTGGTCATACACCGTTACGGGACTACCGGCAGTGGTCGACAGTGCTTAGAATGCATGGGGATGATTTTGTTAGAATCAAACTTTTATATGGTTGCGGTGTTTTAGCAAAACCTCAAATGTAGGAAGTTAAAAGAAATGATTCAAAAAATAATAATATATGTATATTTAAAAATGAGAGTAATTAAGTAATTTATATAACATATCCACTAATTTGTTTCTCCCAATCAAACATATATATATAATATATCCACTAATTTATTTCAACCTAACTAAACACATTTTTCTAAACATTCTAAATAATCTTTAAGGTAATCTATTTTTTCATTAATATAAGAATGTTACTCTAATACATATTGAAAACTCTCTTTTATGGTTATTCAATAGTTTTGAATAAGAGTTTCTTATTATATAATGTAGAAGAATAAATGATATAAATCCTATTATGAAATACATAAAAACTTCATAATTATATAATACCAAACCATAATTAGACTATAGCAAAATGATATACAATATTAAGAGCAATAAATGATTTTGGGGAAATTAATATTGACATTTTGAACAACACTTGATAGAATCCTGATAACACACTAGTGTTCCAACATAGAATGCACAACAAAATCCATATAATAATGTACATAACTTCCAAATCAAATCATATCATGTACACAACTTCTTCTTCAAGTTTAAATCACCTATCAGAATTATGAAGATTTAAAGAGAAATAGAATAATTGTAAGTATGCCCCCGTCAAGGATAACTCAAATTCAATAAATTTGATTTCTTATATCCGGCTTACAATAACAATAATGGAGAAAATGAATGAATCGCTCTTCCTCAACAACACTATTACAGTATTAGCACAAATTTTGCTTCTGCACGTCAAATACAAAATATTGAATCTGGACTAAGTATAACAGAGAGAAATTAAACCTTGTATCTTTAACCGTTTAGGTGATAACACTATTCTGCCTTTTCTTCATGTCGGAGTTCATCCTCATTCACAGTCAAACAAGCAGATTGGTCTATGAGTCGGACTTAGCGTCAGTTGATGAAGCAACGCTTGGTTTTCCATTACCGCCACTGCTAATGAGACTGTTTAAGCGGCCATTTAATTCTAACCCATAAACGTGGCCCATTTTAGCACGTTTAGTCTCCAAATATCTCTTATTCTCTGATGTGATGGGAGTTATCAGGGGAACTCTTCCCACAACAGCCAACCCATAGCCCTTGAGTCCAATGTACTTAGCAGGGTTGTTCGTCATCAACTTCATTGTTCGAACACCCAGATCCCTTAGTATCTGCAAGGGTAAGCAAACATATTCAACAGTTTTCATAAGATATATTGAGTTTTCATTGCTCTAATTCATTATGGCAGGCTCAGCTGTAAGATTACTGGATAGAAATTAAAATATTAAAACCATGTAGAGAAAATCTCTCTCCTCACAACCTGACGTAAATTTTAGAGCATTTGGAGGTTGCACGAAAAATGCAACACCCCAGAAAAAAAAAAAAAAAAATGTGATATCAAATGCTTGACAAAGCATAACGAAAGCTTTCATCTTACTGCAACTTTCAAACAATTCAAGACATTAATCCAACTTAAAATTACCTGTGCACCAATGCCATATTCCCGTGAATCAACAGGCAACCCCAGTTCCTCATTTGCTTCCACTGTATCACGCCCATCATCCTGTAAGTTATAAGCACGAAGCTTATGACCTAAACCAATGCCCCTTCCCTCATGCCCACGGAGGTAAACTAATACACCCCGACCAGCAGCCTCAATCTGCTTCATTGCAAGTGCAAGTTGATTACCACAATCGCATCTGGCTGACCCAAATATATCTCCAGTGAGGCATTCAGAATGTACCCTTACAAGAATATCTTGACCATCCCCAATATCACCCTGTTGAAATCACATGCTTCAGTTACTCCTTATAAGAGAAAGGATTAAAAAACAAATCTAAGTTCAGAAAAAACATCATATTCAATAGTGGCAATGAGTTATTATTCTATTGATATGACTTTTAAATCCCAGACAGACCTCCACAAATGGAAAATACAAGTAGCTATCATATTATTCATCTTGTACTCAAAAGTTTAGGCATAAGTAAATAGCAGAATGAGGGACTAACAATATCAATAATATAAAATGTATTTTCAACCGTGTGTATGTCTAAAGATGTAAGAGTTTCATTCTTTTCGTAAGTTTAACAAGAGAGAGAGAATGTGAAAGAGTTAATTGGAATATCATATTCATTCTAATTAACCGTCTAAAACACATTTCACCAAATATATTTGCAATCTCAGTCCTTTAAAGCAGAAGGCAAACAAAACTAAACAGTCCCCAGTTTAAGATCAGGCAAACATGGGATCCTGACACTGAGTCGCCCCACAGATTTTCAAGCTCTACTTAAACAGCCTTGCCTACGGGAACACAGCTACATCAATCTTGGTAGCTGGTTGTTGAGTATAAATCTAAATATTCCTTACCTTAACCATTGCAATATGCTCAATCCCATCTAAGATTGATCTATAACAGTAAGCTGTAAACGGCCCCCACATTGTAGGTATCCTTGCAGCTGAAGAACGATCAACTAATTTGTCTCTCTTCCTCCTATATCTGCCAACCATCAACCATATTGGAACAGTCAGTAGAAGATAAAAAATTCAAATTGAAAAAATAAGAAATGTATGAGTTACACCTTAAAATAAATAAAAATGAAAATGATCACTTCATAAGTTTAGATTTCTCTTTAATCGTGTTTCATCACGTACTGGACTACATCAAATGGAAGGTAACAAATAGTTATTGGCAACAACAGAAAAAAAAAAAAATGAGCTAAACTTAGTTGGTGCCCAGGAACAAATACATTCAGATGGTCAAGACCATCATTAATCCCCCTGATTGGACTATCAGCTACCATCCTCCATACTAACAACTTATATTGGACAAAGACACTAGTTAGCTCAGAATTTTATAAGTAGCCCATGCATATTTAAGCAATCTGGTCAAACCAACCTAAGGGAGTTGAGCTTCCAATGAATATTAGTAGTTGAAAACTTAATATTCAAACGTTAAAAAAAAAAATTAATAGCTTTTACATAGTTTGTAGAGAAAAGAAAATGAGCACATTTGCATTCAATTATACAAATGGATGCAACATTTTGAGGCAATTAGATTCAATTTTATGTGCCACTAACTAAAATAATAACAATAACAAAACAAACAGGATTAGCACAAAAACTAGATCCCTTCACTATACATTTAGATTAGATTTATTTAAAAAAAAAAAAAAATACAACCAACCTCATAGGGTCTTGGTAAGATAAAGAAATGCAAGGCTCTCCAAGTTACCTTATTAAATCAGCAATGGATATAATTTTCAAGTTTTCCCGCCTTGCAAATTCAAGAAGCTTCGGTAATCTAGCCATGGAACCATCATCATCCACAACCTCACACAGAACTGCTACAGGGTCCAACCCAGCTAGCATGGCAAGATCAACAGAAGCTTCTGTATGTCCAGCTCTTTTTAAAACACCACCCTCCCTGTATTTCAGAGGGAAAATATGGCCTGGGCGGTTAAAATCCTCAGGTTTTGAATCCCCAGAAGCAAGAGCTAATACAGTTGTTGCCCTATCACGAGCTGACACCCCTGTGGTTGTTCCATGTTTGGCATCCTTCAAAATTAATTTACAGGTTGATGACATCAAAATTATTGGAATAGACTAAGAAATAACAATATCAAGTAACAAATACAAGAGCCAAGTAGAAAGAGGCATGATCTTCCTAAAACTTAATTATACAGCCATTAAGTATAAAAAATGATAAGTTCTCAAATAGTATAATAATTTTTTTAAAAAGAGTTAATAGGAACAGCATGATTAGTTCCAACAACGATATTCATACAATACAGTAAGGTGCAAAGATTAATTATTTATTCCAAAGTTATAAACCTTAAGTGAAAAGCATACATACCACAGTGACAGTGAACGCAGTACAAAGTTTCTCCTCATTTTCCTTTTGTGATACCATCAGAGGAAGGTCCAACCTCTCCAAATCTTCCCCTTTCATGCTGACACAAACTATTCCAGTTCCATGTTTTACAATGAATGCCATAGCTTCAGGTGTTGCCAATTGAGCTGCCATTATTAGATCTCCTTCATTTTCTCTATCTTCATCGTCCACAACAACAACAAGCTGTAATGCTAGTTCAAATTAGTAAACGAAAAATGAATATAAAAGAGGTATGGAAGAAAAACAAACCTAAATATCTTTAGGTTCACCATTTCAAACTCAAACAACCAACCTTTCCTTGGCGAATGTCTTCAATGGCCTCAGGTATAGAAGAAAAACCTTCTGTGGGGGAATCCAAATCAAATTCATCACTATCAATGGGAAACCCAATAGTTGTGGGAGCAGTATCTGCTGCAAGGGCTTCCAATGCTATCGCATCAGGCGGTACCTCAATCCCAACTGATTGTTCATCAACAAGAGCACTTTTCGTTGCAAGGTTATGACCATTGGGATATGACAAGAGGTCACCTTCTCCTGACACCAGCATAGCTCTATTCTTGCCAACACCCTTGAAACTAACGGATGATTTACCCGTTAGCTGTATCAAGGGCGTTGCATTGAAAAGTTTAAAGTTTTTGCATGCTCTGCACAGAAGTAAAAGTCAATAAGATCTTCATATACTCGGAAAAGAGAATGCACCCAGTAGGAAATACTGCATGCTCATCCAGAAGAGTTTTCACACTACATATTAACAAATATCTCTGAAGTCTCAGCGCGAGAAGTAACAAATTTCATAATTCAATGCTGGAACAAGCTAAAAGTAGATGTGTAAGCTATCAAGCCCAAGGCAGTAAGGACAGTTGGACTAAGAATACAGTAAGTTCAAAACATTCTACAAATTTTGGAAGATGAAGAGAAGTTGGCAAGTGATATTTACAAGAATAAGATCATATATGCATAACTAAGCAGTCCACCAACATATTATTGACCTTTTTAAACTTGGAAAGTTTAATTCCGTAAGTCAAAATGGGATCAGAAACTGAAACAGGAACTCATATATCCAATCAACACAAAGTTTCTCACACATAATCAATTGCGTCAGCCAAACTTGAGTGACAACTTTTTCATATAACAAAAACATAATTTGAAAACCAAAAAGAGCCGACCAATCTTTCCACATATACACATTTATTCACTCCAATGGGTTGCTAAGAAAATGAAGAAAAGAATAATCAAAACCACAAGCAACCAACTTTAGTCTTCGCAGAATTGCAGTTACCAACTTTTGTAACGGAAGCTTGAAACACAATAATGACTTAAAATTATATTTGACTACTTTTATAAAAAAATCAAACAAAAGGGTATTCATTTGATAAATAAAAATCGAACAAATCTCTTCTAAGAAAGTTTGATCCAATCAAAATTTCAAGAACCCATCTCCCAAATCCAACATTAAACACACAAAAGGTTTCATTCTGGTGATCCAAGCAACACAAAACATAACAAAGAGAACCCATTGACTACAACCCAAAAAACAGAGCCTAAAGCCAAAGAAGAAGAACAGGGCAGTTGTACAACAATGAAAAGAACGCGTAAGGGGACTTACAGAGGAGGAGAGAGAGCTGAAGAGAGATTGATGGAAGCCATTGTTGTTAAGTTTTGAATGGTGTTATGGTGTTGAATTGTTAAGAGAATGAGAGATGAAGCAAAATGAAGGAGGGTGGGCGTTATTTTTTATACTAGTTTAAGAAGTATGAGAGGAGGCAAATTGGAAGAAGAAAAGAAAGAGATGACGAAGTAACGGCGAATTGATGCAACGAGAAATTAAAGTAACGGGCCGGCCACGTAGGCTTTTTCTCGTCACCAAATTGTGACTGAGTTAATAACATTTTCATCCCTAGGGATAGGAGAAAGTTCTCTTTGATCCAATAAAATATGAAAGAGAATTATGGAGTATGCTAATCTTTTAAAACTGAAATGTCTACTATAAACCCATTAGTTTTATTAGGAATAATATATATAAACTAAAAAATTAGAGATTTAAAATAAAATCCCTACCTTCAAAAACAAAATTAAAAAAAAAAAAAAAAAAAAATCTCCCATCAAATTTTATTTTCTTTTATTGTTTTTCTTTATTAAATTTTATGAATTAATTTTTTTTTCTCTAAATTTCATTTTATTATTCTTAAAAAGTGTTAAAGGACAATCATACTTTATACTATTTTATTTTATTTTAACTGCTATAATCAGACAGGGGACTATAATAACAATTTCAGATTTTACGAGATGAAATACTTTGTCCAAACCTTAGGGACGAAAATGTTATTAGCTCATTCATGACTTGAGCAGCCATGTCCCTCAAGAGACAATTTGGTCGGTTGACCCGATTAACAAATCGGCAAATCCTGATGGACGGTGTTTTAACTAAAAATATATATCATGACTAGGGGTGTAAACGAGCCGAGCCGAGTCGAGCTTTTGGCTTATCGAGCTCGGCTCGTTTACAACAGTGTCGAGCTCGTCGAGCTCGAGCTCGAGCCTGGCGAGCCTCAAAATTGAGACTCGAGCTCGAGCTCGAGCTCGGTCGAGCTTGAGTCGAGCTCGAGCCGGCTCGCGAGCCGGTTCGATATCGAGCTCTCGAGCCTTGTCGAGCTCGAGCTCGAAAAGGGCTCGCGAGCTCGTTATCGAGCTCGATAAGGCTCGATCAAACCACCATTTATCTGGGTTTGATTGAGCCAAGTTCCCTTTTTTTATAGCAATCTGTCTGCGTACAGCATTTCATATTTACATCCAATGTTGAATTAACTATGATAGTTTTGAACATTACAAAATGTCTATTACCATACAAAATCAAAAAACAGTTCTGAATATATACAAATAACATTCCTAGGAGATTACCGATTTCAGAGTGTTTGGTTCGCGATTTGGGATTTAAGGGTCTTTGATTGCGATTTGGGATTTAGGGCAACTGGGATGGGGAACTGAAATTGAGTAATTGACGCTCTGTTTTGGTATATTGTGTTATTTCAAATTTGCACTTTGGGGGGGAAACTGTCATTTTTTTAAACTTTTTTCACTGAAAAATATCAGTTTAAATACCTAATAGTTTAAAAAATCACCAAAACACCCTATTAAGTGTACAGTGCTTAATCGAGCCGAGCCGAGCCAGGCTCGCGAGCCCACGAGTCGAGCCAGGCTCACGAGCCCACGAGCCGAGCCAAGCTCGCGAGCCCACGAGCCGAGCTTTACTGTGTTCGAACTCGACTCGGTTAACGAACCGAGTTCGAGTCGAGTCGAACCGAGCCTTATCGAGCCGAGCTCTAAACGAGCTTTTAGGCTCGGCTCGGCTCGTTTACACATGACTTACCAATTTTCAGAAACATTTAATGAAATAAATTACCATATTTTTTATGATACAGATGGATATAAGTTGTAATCTATAAATTGTATGATATTTATTCAGTTACTTATTTCAAGAATATAATTACTTGTTTTAATTGGTATGTGTTTAATTTCTTTCTATAATAAGATAAATTTTATCATTCTTTTTTTTTTTTTTTATAGGTTTTTAGAATGCTGTTGTCTAAATACGTAAATATAATTTAATGTAACTTTATTTTTAGAATAATATTATCCATACATCTAATCACAATTGGGTAGTTTAATTGGTAAAAGATCAAAGGGGTTCAACACAGGCTCTTGAGTTCGAATCCTCAGAGGTTCTAATAGAGGTGGTTACTGAGAGAATTTACCCAATCATCAACTACAGAGCCTCAAAAAATTAGTTGAGGTATGTATAAACTGGTCCAGACACCTCCCATTAACAAAAAAATATACATATCTTATCCATATAAAACATTCATTATAAATTAACATGACAATACACTTTAATGTAAATATTTTTATATTATTTTATAAAACTTTTGAGGCTGAATTTTTCATTTTATATTTGATCAATTAAGGAATTTTATTTATATAAAAAAAAAAATAGATTAAACTTATTGATGAATTCACAACTTTTCGAATGCAAATAATATCTATTTAGACTCTCTTTATTTGTAATAATACATCTTAGATATGTGAATTATGTTGTTGGTCGAAGTGTTACTCACGGTGATTTAGTTGAATTGAAAGAAGTTATAAGTTTTATTTCGGGTCAATCAATTGGAAGAATCGATGATTCAACTAACATTGAACGGAAAAATAAAATTCAATGAGGATTTAGTTCATTCCACACATACACATCAAGAGCATTATATGGATTTGTATGTAATTATTATATTGAATTATAATGTTTTTCTCTATTACATCTATTACATATATATATCAATGGTATAAGTTATCAATTTACGTTATTATAAGTTATTGTCTAAAAAAATATGGTTATTGGTTAACCCTAGCCCTCTATTTGAAATTATATTAGGGTTAGTATTAGCTAAATAATGAATTTGACTTTTATATAACATTGTATAAGTATATTTTATTATAAATTTTATGTTTTTAGTTTACAATTTTTTTTTTTTTTTTTTTTTAATTGTAAACCCCTATGTGTTTGGCCTTTTGTAGTGAGCACTTGGTAGTTTTATACGTGTGGTTTAGTTCCTGTTGATTTAGAAAATGCGGCCCTAAGCACTTTGTGTTTGACCTTTTTTTGTAGTGAACATCCGTTGGTTTCTAATCTGTCATCGATTCATCTTTCAAAATTATCAATAGTTTCATCAATTTAACCTCTAAAAAATATATTAACCTCTTAAGAAAGTTGACAGATTCTAGTAAAAACTTCATTTATTTAAAACTTAAACAGAATAACCTAATGGTCTTTAAAAAATGGGAGTTATGATCGCATTTCTGAAACCATCAAATGCTCATTACAAAAAGGGCCAAACACATAGAGGTTATAATGACTTTTAAAACTAATAGATACTCAGTACAACAAAACCAAATACATAGGGTTTACTATGTATAAAAAAATAAAAATAAAACCCATATATTTTGTAACAAGACCCACTTAATAATATAAGAATTAGATTGGCCAATTAATTGATTAAGAAGATACAATAAAAATCCAGATGTGTATGAGATAAGTAGTCATACCCAGCTATAACCGAGACAAGCAACAATCAGATTCAAAAATTAGAAACTACATACACAATCCCTAATAAATTCCAATGTTCCGAAAACCGGACCGAACTATGACCCGTTGAAGGGTCCTGTTTCTTGTTTGACTGGTTAGATCGGTCGGTTGTACCGTATTCTGTAAAATTATTTTTAGTCCTTGAATGTTTGAAATTCATCAAAAATACTCCTATAATACTCCCTTAAGGTTTGAAATCTATCCAAAACACCCTTGTCGCGCGAAGAGACTGGTGATGGTGGCGACAACGACGATCGACGATCAATCGAGGTTTGGAATCATGTGGCTTTTGATGTATAGGTGCTAGCCTATCTGATAGTGGTGCTAGGGAGTTCCATCGGCGCCGAAACTCGTCGGAATCAACAAAAGAAGTCCGACGGTCGCGTGAACTTTAGGTGGATGGCGAGTGACGAAGGCTGGACGACGGGCACTGAAAATGGCTGGGTTTTATCGTGGAGATGTCGTCAAGTCTAATGGTAGTGTTTTCTCTCTCGAACGATGCCGAAATCCGGCGAGATTGAGCTGCGATTGGACCGCGATTCGGCACTATTCCGATGGTCTAGTCTGGTTTGAATGAAATTAACAGTTTTTTAAGGATACCGAACCGGATATGCCGTCGGTTACCGGTCTAACCAGTCCGACTGGACGGTCCAGTCTGATTTTCAGAACATTGCATTAAATTCTCTTAAGAGTTGCAACTATACACAATTCCCAAGAGTTACAACTGAAACCATCTATAGGTATTTGATAATGCCATGTCATCATACTCTCAAATTGATTGGCCTCCATTCCCCCAATTGAAGAAACTACCATTTCACATGACCCCCACATAATTATTATTATTATTTTTATTTTTTTCTGTTCTCACTCACGTATTATAGTTTACAAATGAGTAAACGACTTTTTCCCACTCAAGCTTTGCTTTAATAATATTTTCTCACTTAAAAAGTTTTAAAATATCAATTTCCCATTCCAAATTTATATTCTGTTAATATATAAAATATAATTCATTTTCTCAACTGCCATTCAACAAGTTATCAAGAGCTAAGATAATAGAGATTTTGTAGAATGAAAGTTGATGGATCCAATGGTGGTAACTGATGAAATATTCGTCGTCGCTATTAGTCGAAAATCAACTAAGAACAGAAAACTGTAACTTTGCGGTGGCCGATAATCGACAAAAAATTAGATGTTGAAGTGAGAGGAGTTTTATAGAGAGAAAACCGAAAGTTCAAATGATGGTGACAAAGATAATTTTTGCTGCTGGATAGATTTTGGATAGTACCAGAATAATAACTTTAGATGAGAAAGTAGTATTTTGAAACTTTTTTAGTAGAAAAAATGTCATTAAGCAAACCTTGGGTGTGAAAAAGTCGTTTACTCTTTACAAATTCATTATAGAGTATAAATTCAATCATATAATACCTCCAAGTTCGTATCAATATAATGTAACCAAGATTTTATTTATTTATTTATTTTTTTACCATCCCAATTGATGAATACAGAATTTAAATTCCTTACTAAATCCTTGTACATTTACCTGCATTATTTTAGGTATCAAGGCACTTTTTTTATATATTTAAATATAAATTTTAAAAACATTATTGACAAGTATAATATTAAACGATA